CCAAATTAACATTTGCCTGTGATATTAACCGGTCATTTTGTTAGGATACCCCCGTCACTCAACCTGGTGTTATGCAAGGAGGTCCACTACGGTTATCAGTGACAATTATGAATAATCATTTATGCAGTTATTGATCATTTTTATGTATCCACATATGGCAAAAGAATAAAGGAAATCAAAGTGGGGGCCAAATGTCGACCCCTCCTTTGAATGTAGAGGGTGTGACTACGCAGCTGTTAAGAAGTGTGATTTGGACAGACACGTGAAACGCACTGGGCACTAGGAAACTCAACAAGCATCTGGAAGTGAGGACGAATGGGAAAACCAAGATCCAGGTACCCTCCGCAGACCACTACCTCTGGAGTAGAAGGAAGAGCAAGATGGAAGTATTGCTCCAGATCCGGAGAAAAGCGATGTTTTTATGGAAGTTGTTGAAGAGAGAAGTGCAACAGTATCAAAAGATTATGGGCCAACACCCGAGGTGCCATCTGTGAACCAAGAAAAGGTTCACTATGTCAGGAAAGTGGTCCAGGATCCAACAGTCAGGAAGGGCACATCTCCACTTCCTGTCATAACCTCAAAGCCTAAGGCAGTTAAATCCGGTTCTGGCAGGGAACAGAGGAGCAGCACGGAGGACCAATTCACCATGACTGGGGTCCATGGCTTCATCTATAGCAGACTAAGCTTTGATGCCAGCTCGCAGACAGAAGCGCCTGTCAAGACCGTAACAAACAAACAGACAATAACATACGATAAAGAGGCAAAACGCATTGTTAAGGAAGTTATCACGGAACAGTGGGTTGAATAGGTCGCCAACAAGTAGCTGGCTGATAGTACCCCGTGAGAGTGACAGTTTCAAACTTCCGATTGTGTTTAAGACTTTCGAACAAGTAATCCTTATCTGTCATTAATAAATAGTAACGAATTGTTATAGGCATTCTTTTGGTTTTGAAATTTTGGTATGTGGGGACACTTATACCCGGAGGCGTGGGTAATGTAATGGAAAGCGAAAGTAAATCCAGAAGGAAAGAGTCTTGCTACAATTAGATCCACGTAAAACGTGATGGAGATACAGATGGATCCGATCACGTGGGTTACAGAGATGAGCTGAGCCAGTCATCGTCCGCGAAGTGTAGTCTATAAACCCATCAACCAAACAACCAACCAGCCGGCCAGTCATATTGATACCGATCACAGTGCGATACAGACCAAGCTAACAACGGTAGGTTTATTTAGGAAGGCAACTAAAGCTAGTTAATAAGAGCGTAGCTCTCGGGCGCCGAAGGCGCACGAGCGAAGCTCTTTAAGGGTAACACATGCGTGCGTAAACAGAGTTGTTTCCCCTTTCTACACCTTGCTTTTAATTTTTTTTTCGTCCGGAGGTAGACGACCAGTGGGGAAACAGAAAGTGTATCCTTGAAGCAAAGACAATTGTGTTTCAACCTATACATGAAATTATTCATATAGTGAAAACAATCTTAATTTTTTATTACTTGTTTATTTAGATAAAAAGTATATACATTCTGAGTGAAAAAAGTCAATCACATAAAAAGTGTTACTAGCGGGCATGAAACTTCGTTCAGAGATTATCATACTATGACGTCACAAGCACGTCACAATCGATCGGACTTCATCCGTTATTTCCATAAGGATGAAAAACAAACGGAAAATCCTGGAACTGATATCTGTTGCATTTATCTTTTTGTCGGTGCTTCAAGACTTTTTTTCAGTTTTTGCCACAGGCACAACAAGTGAAAATTCGGATATTTTCTGAAGATCTTTTTAGTCATCAACCCGGTTCTGTTAATATTTCTACCGGGAGATATCTTCAAAAAGAGCCGGCATTAAAACCAATAGGTCAACGTGTACATTTATTTTTTCATCATTTAAAAAATTTCATCAGCTTTTGATTTTCATTTATTGAGAATATGAACGAAATAATTAACATTTTTTAAAGTCTAGTCATAGCCTTTACATTATTTGTTTATGCATCACCACTCATAAAAACCCCAATTGAAAATGCATTTATGACGAAATTAACAATAATTTTCCAGACAACCAACCAGAGTTCAAGGCCCTTTTAACTGTTTAATACTAATTGGCATCATTACCTGTCAAACCTCGGTGACAGTTACAAAATTTGATATTCAATCCTGTTGTTTCAGGATGGAACAGTAATTGAGACTACATATCGATATAAAGATAATTTCAGTTACATCAAAGTATTATAATATTTTATTTTTTCAATTGATTTTTTAACTAACATCTCAATAAATTTACTAATCGTCAAATATGTAATATGCACTTTTTTCAATAGCAATTACCGAACAGTTTTTCCCCAGCTTATCTCAGTCATTCTTTTTGTGCCCTGAACGAAGCACGCAGAGGCTTTAATTCTTAATATGGGAGGAAGCTAGAGTATCTGGAGAAACCCTTGGTGAAGACGAGCGCACTATCCACTGCGCCACCCGACCCATCATATAAGTTACGCACAAGAACAAATATCTACTTTAGCTTTGACTGGAAGAAAATGACGTCATTGATGCAAACATTATATTGTGAATACATTTTTACCACTCATCAATGATACAAAAAATCTATATACGGGAGACCGGGACAAGTTCGGCCACCCCTGATATTTTTGTTTTTGAGCTAATATTAACAACTTTAAGGATCTTAGCAGTTTAGATGGCTGGGCATTCAACGAAAGAACGTCGAGGAAAACTAATGTAAAATAACTAAACAGGAGAAAATTACTTTTGAGAGGGTGGAAAGAAAATCATGATCTCGCTTCTAGTTATGCGAACTGTTAGAAAACGGAATTGCTATTTTTTTACAGTCAAACGTGTTACACACTGACAACTTCAAATGATAATACATAAAAGCCAAGCCAATCACTCACTACCATATAAGATAAGAATTTATTGAAATATCAATTTGGACCCGAACAGATTCGGCTTAAATAATGTTCACAAACGGACGTGCTACCATACATGTACTTCCTAGAACGGACTTTAATAAAAAAAAAAAAAAAAAAAAAAAAAAAAAAAAAAAAAGCCGAACTTGCATATGTCGGTCTTAATCTCATTAGAGTTTGTTTCATTGTTTTTCCTCGACTTGCCAACTAGAAATAGATACAGTTGATCTTATCTCATTCTGAAAGCTGTATTCTGAATCAGTTGATATGAGAGATCAACAAAAGCTACGCTCTTTCAAAGCTTTGTCTTTTCATACTATATATGCCCGAATAGCGTGCCTGAATAAGGCCATACTATATCAACACCGATAAACTGTCAGCGGAGGGTAGTCTGGGAGACGTGCACGTTGGCTTTCACTACTTACAGTGATAGGTAGGTGATCGATGGGGCGGTGTTATTGTAGGTGGCGGTCTGGTGTACAGTTAACATACACAGCGCTCCGAAGAAACCTCGCACGTGTACATGGTTGGTAGCGGAGCTGTTAGAGTGGCGTGGTGACCAGAGATCGCGCACTGTTATCGCCCGCCACCGCGGTACTAATAACACTTTTGACAGCAGTATGTGCAGCTGCGCCTTTACATAGGTATAGTTACCGATACGTTGTGGTCAAATAACCACTGTAAATATCTTCATGTGACATTAGCATGCCCGGGCGGCATGTAGTTGTAGTAAATCCGATACATATATATATATATATTGTACTAAGGGGACGGTGTAGATATCTCAAATCCCAGGCAGTGACCTGGTAACGAACCCCCTTACACGTCACACTCGAACACGGTTTTATTACACGAATCAGGATTGATGACAAATAATCGCTAGCGCGCGTTTTTCATTTCATTCTAACCCTGTTTCATTGTATAAGACCATAAACCAGAACAGAACGCTGTTTAAGGTTCAGGTTAAGTCTGTTTTCAACTAAGTTACAAAAGGTCATAATTTCTTGAATTTTACCTCGATAGCCCTTATTTTGGTATCACTACGATCCTTAGGATAATATAAGTAACAGTATGTATTAGCTTTAAGTTAAGTTCAATGTGATTATGACAGAAATAATCACCATTTTTTGACACCTGAAAACAAAAAAATGACCGCCTCCATTTGACAACACGATGACTTTTGATTTAACCAAAATCCATGTATGGATGTTTAAACATAACCTTACTTCATAGGAGCACCTCACTGTATATAATATCTTATTTTCCCCAAAGTTTCAATCTCAAACATGAATAGGTTATCAGTTCTAATTTTCCCCCAAAATAGAGGCAAAATATTCACGAGTCACTCATTTATATTTCAAATAACACTATTTACTGAGTGCGTGGCAAACGTTCAATCATGGCTATAGGGAGTTTGAATTAATAACTTCTTACATTGAAAACGACAATTCAGCACTGCCTGAAGGTCATGTATTAGTGTTTACATGAAGCTTAATGTTTAAAGGGCGCGGTGTGTATGCAGTGGTTGGATACGATTCTGTGTGACAGGCTTGTAATTATATATAAATACTCGTGCACCGGGACACCTAAACATGTCGGAATCCCGTATAACTGAAATATTGCGGGACCCATTGCTTTTAGGCACTTTCACTCTTCAGAGAAAAATCGCGGCAGGTACGTAAATGATTGTTTGTATACTCGTCTTATCGTTTTTATAACGCTTTCAAGTAAGTCTTAGAATGTTCGAGAACAAAACAATTGCACAAAACAATAAAGTAATGTGGCAGTGTGGAAGTATTTTGTTTAAATAAAGTTTGATTAAAATCTTTCAAACTTTCTTAATATTACCAAAGTGGTAATATTAGTATTAACTATTTTGTACTTTTAAACTATTTTATTACAGGTATCTCTAACGCTATATATTTTAATACATGTACTTGTCAAAACCTGTTTGTGCAGTTCACATGTCCACCTGAGTATTTTTCACCTGTATTGTATTGTCATGTAACTGTCTTGTCACGTGATTGCGTGTTCGTACGTGTGCCTGTGAGTTTTACCGGCATTCCTGCACTTGACATGAAGAGTACCTGACGTACATGTAACACGTTCTCGTACAACCTATATAGACGACCTATACCTGCAGACTATGAATTTAAAGTGCACCAATATCATAAAGTAAGTAATAAAAATTATAAACCATTTTAAGTTATGCTATCAATAACCTTTAAGGAATTATATATTTTTCAATCAGAGGAGGCTGAATTATCTTTCCTTTATTTGACATATTTTTGGTGTGGTTCGTCATACTTTTTATAATGAGAACCAATTGTATTTATTAAGCCTATTTTATAAATTATTTACTTAATTAAGATGTTCTATTTTTTCCCTACAGATGAATTGAATATATAGACGACAAGCCATTATAAGTATTATCATTAAGACCCCTGTCGGTTTGATAGGGTAGGTATTTGTTAATTAATACGCTATGTAAATTATGGGACTATTGAAAATAATGTATGTTAACTAAATGGATAAATTGTTTAATTTATCATGAAGCAGAATGATATATTTATTATAAAGTGTTAATGTTAATTGTATCCGTTACGGGGAATTTGTATTTGATATGTATGTGATAAAGTATATTTCTCGTGTAGTGTACATGTATATATCACAGACTAGTTTTATCGTACTTGTTCTTATATGTTGTATTTGTGTTACTGTAGGGTCTTCTTTGTGATATGAAATAAACCACTAAAATGGAATCACAGTATTGGTTATTCTGTCATGAACCAATGTAGAGTTGACCTGGCTACAATAACATTTCTGTGACGTCACTTATTACACTCGCATCAGGGCAGGGAACATTTCCCCATGCTAATCAAATGGGGAAAGCACGTCAGAACCCTGTTTTTTTCAGCTAATCAAACGGGGGAAAGCGCGCCAGAACCCTGTGTTTTCGTGCTACTTGTAGGTGTTCACAACTGCATGGAGAAAAGTAGGCACTTCCCTATGGAAAAGTTGATAAGTTTCATTTGTTAAAACAAATATGAACTGGTTCATGACAAAACGGGAATGAGTTCAGTAAAGGCCTCAATGAATAATTGTTATAAATCTATTTATTACTGAAGGTCACAAGGTCACAATTTACGTTTCACAATGCCACTGTTGCTGTCGACAACCAGGGAACAGCTGTCGGTCGCTAATCCTTGGTATAATTAATTTAGAACATTTCATTCAAAATAACCACAATTGATTTTAAAACAGTCCTTGTAGGGCCGGTAGTTGATCACGTGACACTTTCAACAGATAACACTGCTTGTTTATGTTATGAGATACGATTATGTAACCATGAATGTGATTTGAATGCATTACTGTGAAAAAAATCAATATGCGTCGTGCTTTATTTATAAAGCAATATGCGAATGTTCTCGTTCGTTATGCCAACGGGGTATTTAAAAATGAAAACCCCATATTGAATTGCATGTTTCAATGTGCCCCTTTGCGTTTAACAGTAGTGCATCGAGGCGTTCATGTACGTTCCTGAACAGGCCGGAACCGATACGTCACTAACCAACGTCTAGACATGCACTACACAAACTACGGTAACCGGGTTTAACACTCGAATACTAAGTGACTTTATATACCTGCATCAACGTTTTTCTCACATGAAAAACAGGGGAACAAACAACGATTACATAGTACCCGGATGAAGAAATGGCAACGATTAACGCATGCAGGCCAGTATGTTACATTACTATTATCAGCTAACTACACATATCACAAATATTGCTATTTAACCAATATGCTTGCGGGACGTAGCCAGCCCTTGTTTGAAAGGGCTTCATTTAGAGCAGGTCGGCGGTAGTGCCTTGATAAGGGGAAAATGGGGTACAACAAACTAGCAGCGGTTTTTTTTTAAATGGGCAGATTCACCCTGTTCGTGTGGGCTTCCCGACACATGACAATTTTGTCAAACAATACAAATACTAGTAGACACGACTCGTGTCCATACTGATCGTCGTTAATACAATGCAATTTCAAGGATTGCGTCCCCTTCAAGCGATAACAACTCTATTTGCCCTGTTGGTTTTATATGTCTACATATATATATTTATCGCACCTCGGACAAAAATGTCCAAAAAACATTGGTTTAGAGCTGTCACATGGTGACCCTCTAATTTTCTATAGAGGGTCAGTAGGATTGCATTATAGGGCAATATTGTCGCCCATTGCTCACCGCTTCAAAACCAAAATCTCACAATTAACAAATGAGAAAATGTTAACGATCTGTGTGATATCTTGTTGCAAGAACAAAAAACTGTTACATGTTATGTTTTTGTTATATAATTTATTTTATTTTCATTTACAGTGTTGATTAAATTTGTGAAATATTCATATTGTTTTGTTATGCATTACATCATTTCTATTTTAAGCAAAAAGGGTCCTCGATGCGATAAATTCGTTATATAGTCAGTTACTGACCCTCTTCAGAACCATAGAGGGTCAGTTAGATGTGTAGGATGCTCGGGCTCCGCCCTCGCCCCCTATAAATCTTACTGATCCTCTATGGTTCCGTAGAGGGTCAGTAACTGAATATATAACTAATAATATATGGACGATAAACAACGTCTTCACGAGAGTGAATTAAACAGTATATCAGCTGTTAGTTGATACGACCTATAAGCCAGTTGTATCTGATGTAATGTCAGCAGTGGTTTGTTGAGTTGTCACATGTCTTGACGCCAGTATGAAATTGTTGAATTGACGAGTGTCTATAGTGCAGTAGTGAGTTATTGAGTGGCTTGAAGCATATAATATATGGTTGATAAGACACGTGTCTATACGCCATTTTTATCTTATTTAATGTCAGTAGTGGTTTTTTGAAGTGACACGCGTTTATAAGTCAGTAGTAATTTGTTAAGTTGATACGTGTCTATATTCCTTTAGTAATTTGCTGATACGGCACGTGTCTATAAGGCAGTTTATTTCATGTAATGTCAGTAGTGGTTTGTTGAGTTGACACGTGTCTACAAGCCTGTAGGATATGGGCTATAGAAATTTGTATCTGTTGTAATGTCAGTAGTGGTTTGTTGAGTTGCCACGTGTCTACAAGCCTGTAGGATATGGGCTATAGAAATTTGTATCTGTTGTAATGTCAGTAGTGGTTTGTTGAGTTGCCACGTGTCTACAAGCCTGTAAGATATGGGCAATATAAATTTGTATCTGTTGTAATGTCAGTATTGGTTTGTTGAGTTGACACGTGTCTACAAGCCTGTAGGATATGAGCTATAGAAATGTGTATCTGTTGTAATGTCAGTAGTGGTTTGTTGAGTTGACACGTTTCTACAAGCCTGTAAGATATGGGCTATTGAAATTTGTATCTGTTGTAATGTCAGTATTGGTTTGTTGAGTTGACACGTGTCTACAAGCCTGTAAGATATGGGCTAAAGAAATTTTTATCTGTTGTAATGTCAGTAGTGGTTTGTTGAGTTGACACGTGTCTACAAGCCTGTAAGATATGGGCTATAGAAATGTGTATCTGTTGTCATTTCATCAGGTTTTACTGACTTTATATATGTCAATTGGATTGGACATCAGGCTAGGCCTATTTAAGTCCTTTCCGAACTTATTTACAAACATTACATATATTCTATCATAACAATCCAATTAAACATTGCAGGGGAGATAACTCCAATTTAGCTTGTGAAATTAACATGTTCAACTTTGCTTTAATCATTTTCTGTGTATATTAATAATTAAATAAATCATATTGTATTCTTTATATTTATTGACAATCCATCCTACATAAAAACCAAGGGATACAGGCCCAAAAGTCCTTGTGTATAAACACATTGGCAATCCACCCATTGGATATATAGGATAAGTTACCATGAAATAAACATTTTGTAAAATTTCTGAATATGATATGGATTCATATAGGAAAAATGTAGTTATTATGATATATTATTGGAGTTGATTCTCTTAAAATTTATTCAACAAGGCACTATAGAATATTCATGTTACTATGAAATAGTTAGAACAGGTTATAAAATAGTACACTCATAAATTCCATCCAGTCCAGCCGAATACCAGAGATGTTGTGAAGATAGATTTACACCATTATCAATACTTATTAGCAGAGTGATCATGACACTATAACTAATAGCATCTCTTTCAATGTGAAGTTTTGCTGTGAGTGAGATTGCATATCAAGCCTATTAGTTTGACAAATGTAGTCAGATATACTTTTTAAAATGGATATGTTAATATCAGCGCTGCATATTAAGCATCCCTTTCATAGAGTTTTTAGATTAAAATGATCATGATTACCAGTTATACAAAATTGAGAATTTTTTATTACTAATCGCATTCTAAAGTTGTTATAGAGTGGGCATTCAAATATAAAATGAAATATATTTTCATTTTCATGTCCACATCTAGATGCTGGTGTGTCATTCAGATGATCCATATATCAGTCACTATTTAGGTTGCTAGCATGATTTCTCAGCTGACAAATTATGATATTGAATTTTCTTGGCCTATAGTATTTAAACATTCTAGCAATATCTTCAGTGTTGTTTATATTATCAGACTTGATGAAATTTTTAAATTGTTGAAGGGAAGTAGCATTTAAAGTTTCTGCAGACAGAAGGTTAAATTCTCTACACATTGAGGGAAAATAACTATTGAAATAATTCTCAGTTCTACAGAAAGGGGGATTAAAAATACGGCTATTTCTTAGTAGGTATCTTACATTTATATTGCTGTGAAGGTATGGTTTAATGATGTCTTCTAAGTACTTAGGCGATTCATTATTTAAAATTTTGAACATAAGTGCTAATTTAGGATTTTTTTCGCCTACAACAAAGTGATTCAAGTCCAGTTTCTGCATAAATCTTACAATGAGAGGTCCCTCTACGCAGTCTTGTAATAATCCTTAATGCCTCTAGCTGGATTTACTCAAGAATATTTTTTATTTTGGTTATTACAGTTATCCCATACTACATCCCCATATTAAAGTATTGGTCTAATAAAAGAGGTATATATTGTTATTAGACTTTTTCTATCCAATTTGTGTTTTAACATTCTCAATATATTCATTCTTTTATAAGCTAGCTCATAAATATTATCAATATGATACGTCCATTTTCCATCACTACTAAAAGTTAAACCAAGATGCTTATGAGTTTGTTTGTTACTTACAGTTTCATTACCAAATAATATATCTGGATGATTTAGTTTCCTTTTCCTCGAGAAGATTACAGATTCAGTTTTTAGTGAATTAAATTTGATATCCCATTTTTTTGCCCATACATTAATATTACCTAGATAATTTTTTAATTTCACTGCAATTTCATTTCGATTGTTGTCTATTACTTAATAGAGAGAGAATCATCTGCAAAAAGTTTTATTTTACTTGTTACATATTCTGTTATATCATTAATATAGATTAGGAAAAGAAATGGACCAAGGACCGAGCCTTGGGGTCCACCGGCTTTGACATGCTTAAAAGTTGAATAAAACTCCTCTGTTGATACTCTCTGCTTTCTATCAGAAAGATAATTACTAAACCATTGTAATATTTTCCCTTTGATGCCATTCGATTCCAATTTAAAAAGTAAACCTTCATGCCAAACTCTATCAAACGCCTTACTCACATCACAAAATACAAATCTGATTTCATTTTTGTTGATCCAAGTTATTTACAATAGTGTCATATATAGATAATAACTGGTTTACAGTCGAGTCTCTTGGTAAAAGGCCTGATTGGTGTATCGTTATGATATCACATTCTTTCATATAATTAAACATATATTTAAAAATAACTTTTTCAACAATTTTGCTAAAACATGATGTAATAGATATTGGCCTATAGTTAGATACATCATTGCATTAATATTAGCTGTTTTCCAAGAAAGAGGTATAATACCAGGTTCAATAGTCTTATTACAAAGAAAGTTAAAGTACATACTAGAGAAGGTGCTAATTTCTTTATTATCTGGGTATCATGCCATCTGGGCCAGGAGGTTTTTATCATTAAGTAAACACCGTTGATCTTTAATTGTCCTCTTCAGATATAATGATATTGTCTAGAAGGAAGGGAAAAGTATGTTCATGGGGGGTAAGGGGTTCAAGATTTTCAGAAGAAGTTAATATTGAGCTGAAGTAGTTATTTAGACATTCTGCTTTTTCAAATGGATGATGTGTTAAGTTATTATTATCAGAAAGAGGAGGAAGACAATTTGATACATTATTTGAATTCATGACAGATCCAGCAATTTTCCACTACTTATTAGGAGGCACAGATTGGTCACTAAGTGATTGTTGTAATTTTTCGTAATAAGTGTTTTAAGCTTCTCTAACAAGGTCTACTACTTCATTTCTAGCCTTTCTGAAAATTTCCCAATTAATTGCAGTGTTGTTATTTAGAGCTTTTTTTATGTAATCTATTTCTCTGTCTAATTTTTTGCCTTATAATATTCCTCATCCAAGGTTTATCATTAGGGCGATCAGTTATAAGTTTGGATGGTATACATTCTTCTATTTGATTATTAATAGAATCTGTTAAAAAAATATCAAACTCATTCTAGTCAAGTGTATTTATTAGTATTTCCCAATTTATTTCATTTAGAGCTATATTCATTTCATCAAAATCTGCATTCTCATAGTTAAGTATAGTTTTCTGGTAGGATTTTTGCTTAAATACAGAATATGAACAGGTAAAATGAATAACAGAATGA